CGCAGGTATTAATTTCGGGAAGAAAAATCTACTTATCATTTTGATAAATTTATTCTTTGTCACTTGCGTTATGTATATTTTTCTGTCAACACCAATTTTATACACAAAAATTACATTATTTCATAGACTTATTATCTTAAAATGGGTAGGCTAGAATTTAGAATAAGATTAAATAATTTACATATTTAACCCTGAAAAATATGTACACGTAAAATTTTTATAACGCATATATAAACACTATAAAAATGTGAATTTCAATATATGTATATTATTTAATTATATAATTAATTACTTTTTTATTCTTTAATTCATAAAATTTTTAAATTATTTTTTCATTGCGTTCACACACACATATTATATACATAACGGATTGTAGCAAGATATATATGTATATCTTAATTTATATATTTATTTGTACATTTATATATAAATAAAATGTGATTTTCATCTCTGCAGCTTGTCGTAGCGCAAGAGATATTAACTTTTTCAAATTTGATGTACAAAAATATGTACATGACGTTACATTAAAAAACAAAATATATCACGTATTTTTGTATATTGATTTAAAATAGAAAAAACATGTTTGCAATTAACTATTATTAAATGTTATTACTTTTACTATACCCCAGTTTTATTCTGATCTTTTTTACAATTAGCCTACATGCATCTATTGTTTTATGGCTTAATTAATTCCATGATCGAGCATGGAAATTCGAAAACCATCCCATCAGTAACGGCTGCGTATCTCCAAACAATGTTAATATTGATCGACCATGGATTAATGGTCAACTATCAACAGTAATGTCGAAAGTAAATAACGGAAATTGAGCTGAGCTCTGCGCTAGCGTTTTGTGAAAAACTATGCCGAGACAGTCGCTCTCAGATTTCGAATGCAAATAACGATAATTGAACCGAATTCTACGCTAAGCATCTTGTGAAAAACGCCGAGATTATCATTCTTAAATTTCTATCTATTGTAAAATACGATTTGCACATAAAAGTATGCATAATATAATAATGTAAAATTTAAAAAAGTCGTCTTTTAAATGTTTATCATTCGCGAAAAAGTAAAAGACTTGCGAGTTCTTATCAGCGACGTCGTATTTTCGTCTCTAGTGAAATGAGAAAAACGTACGGTTTTTAAATTAAGAACGATCTGTTTATCAAATAGAATTGTCGAGCAAAACTCGTCTCGCGCTAAAATAAAACAATTCTGAGAGGGAATAAAATAAGCGTAAAATATAATTTATTTTCGCGGTTGAAACAAAGATGTTTTTCAATGCGTTAGGGTAAGATAATTTCGGAAGGGATATAAAATAGACACAAAGTATATGATTTATTCTCGCAATCAAAATAAAAATGTTTTCCAACGCGATAAGGTAAAACAATTTCGAGTGAAGCATTAAAGATTAAAATTTCAAACTATTTCGGATACAACAATTTCGCTATGTTTTTATCGGATTGATGCAAAAGAGAGGTTTGTATTTATCATATTATAAATAGGATAAAATTATAAGATCTTAAAACTAATGTTTATTAATCAAAATAATCAAAATTGACTTTAATACATGTTTTCCATCTAACAAAAAATTTTTATGTATGCCAGATTTAAAAAACACTGAGTTGTTAAAAATTATAAATTTTATAATAGCATTTTCAATAACATTTTGATTCACAAATTTTTTGTTTTTTAAAAAATGGTTGAGATGTTTAAACAAGTGGTGTTTAAATCAGTGGTGTTTTACAGTTTAAATCAGTAGATGAAAGATCCGAAAAATACGGTGGTCAAAAAACAACCCTCTTTGATGAATAGAGAAGAAGTGCTTTTTCAGCATGATAACGCTCAGCCATGTATAGAGAGAATGACCATGCATAAATTTCAAATTATCTTATCCACTGTATTCTCCGGATCTTTTACCCACTGACTATCATTTGTTTAAACATCTCGTGCAACAGTTTATAAAAAAACAAAAATTGTAGCCGAACGGCTATTGAAAAACGTGCCATTATGGAATTTATTAAATTCTAAAAACTCAGAGTTTCTTAAATCTGGCATACAAAAATTTTTTTGTATGCCAGATGAAAGAAGTATATTAAAGTCAATGGCGAACATTTTGATTAATAAACATTTTAAAACCCTATAGATTTATCTTTTTTATAATATGATAAATACAGCAAACCTCTTTTGCATTAACCTAATACCGACACAATATCGTTTCACCATTGTTTAATCAAATGTGAAATAAAACCAAGATATGATCGGCATCTGCCGATTACTATAAAACAGTACTGCTAAACAGTACATGATCAATGCAAAATTTACAAAAAAGTAAACATTAAACTAATGTCATTTATCAATTGCCGACATTCGGGCACGATTGACCTGTATTTTTGATGTTGGCAAATGTTACACGAGAAATGCACAGAAGTATTTTCCATTAAAATGTCATGTCTAAAAGTGTACAATTAAACCATCATAAATTATAAGCAATTCTTCTATAAAAGTTCAATAACAATAAGTATTAAATCTCATGATACTTAAGTGAATTCACTCCGTAATCATTTTATAATAACATCACTGTAAACGTCACTTTATCGAAAATCGATATTATTGTGCAATGTGCCGTTATAATGGCAATATTATAATGCAAAATTTTATTTTATTTCAGTCTGAATGCATTACATACAACGCGGCGCATTGATATCGAGTTAAAAGCTAAACGACTCGATAAAATCTCACGACGTACAATTTGTGCGCTTTTAAAGACCAGTAGCTCTCGATAAAGCCAAACGATTGCTGGCCACCACACAGCGTTTGCTTTCCTACAAATTGCACACTTCCCTTCCCTCTCACCTCTCACTATTGTCTCATCTCTGTGTGCCATGCTTCGGGCTATAAGTCATTTTACACTGCAACTCCCAGTTAAAACTGCAAAATATCTGTCGAAAGTCGCCGGCAGGTATTTGTTAATCCGATCAAGATTAAAATCGGGATTGAGATCCCTTTGCGTCCTCTTTTGTTTATCTGCTTATCATGTCTTTTTTATTTGTCACGCAAATACGCAAAACCATTCCTTGGGAGATTAAATAACAGATTATTTTTTCTTTGATGCATTAAATGTTAATTTAAAACAACTCATTGAATCGTTCGTCACAATAAAGAATAGTTTATGTACACGACTCTAAACATCCCAAACAGCACACATGTCCAAAATACATCCAAAGGATATCCGAAGGATATCCAGAGGACGTCTTGTAGTTCCAAAAACATCCTCTGGGCGTCTTTTGGATATGTTGTGCTGTCTGGGATGTAAGATACTTCCTATGATTTAACCAAAAATTCTACAAAATAGAAAAAGAGAAAAAGAAAGAAGAAAGTGATTCTCATAAATAAATAAAAAAATACAAGTTATCAATATTATATATATAAGTATAAATTATTATTATTAATATATAGATTTCTTCATTTTTAAATTTTAATGCTTAATCGATAGTTTGATAAAATATTTATATATACTAAAATTTTAGGAAACAAATATTTTTTAATATCAGAAACTATTTAAATATCATAACATTAGATCTTTGAAGATTAGAAAAATTATTTAAATTGTAAATACACCATAAAAATTATTTAAAATTGTCATATATGTTAATTATAATATGATAAGATGTTATAAAATATCACAATCAATTAATTTTAATATTAAGATTAACATATATATATATATATAATTAATGTGAAAATATTTAATTATAGCAATTTATTTCTTAAATAATGTGATATCAATTAAGTAAACTAATTTATCCCACAATTTGCGATTAATTAATTTGCCTGCATTAATTTTATATAACTATATAAATATTCTTAATATTATTTAATAATGACTCACCATCTTCCGCTTTTCACGACTGGAACCACGAACGTACCTTCGTCGTGTGTATGTTTTCATCTTTGTAGATATTGTCGACATCCGAATTAAATGTTCCTGTAAATATCCAATTTAAATTGCAATTTACATTTCATACGATACACTTTACATTATTTACACAACACATGATATATTCGACGAGATATATTCAAACCATTTTCAAAGATTTATGCAATGCATTTTGATGCGTATCACATAAACATAATCACTTTCATGATATCAAAAGAATCTCGGCCTATTTGTGTACATACTATTCGCGCCATTTTGTTTAAGAAATTTTCAGAAAATTTTAGAAAAAAAGAATAAGGGAGATAGAGATCTGTGATTCCAATAAACAATAAAAATATAATATAAATTCGGCCAATTTCTTCAACTTGCGTCTTACATTTTAGTAAATATTATTAAACCACGATAAAAAGATATTGCTTATATATTGCTTGGCTTTGTATGAAATTCAACGAATATATTTTCTGATATCTCGACATATTCGACAACTGCGTAATCGAAACGCTGTTCAAAATCGAGCTATCTATTTCGTTTATTCTGTTCATTTCATTTCATTTCTATTTATTCTGCTTATGTATATAATTTATTGCAATATACGCGGCTTAAAAGAATTAAGCGTTACCTTCGTTACTCAGCACTTTTCATGTTACATAACCACAACACATAACACTTTTCCTTTCTGAACAAATCTAATACGCTGACTCGACCACTAATTTCAACTCGCAATTTAAGTTTACAATATCGAGAAAGCGATCCCGTAACCGCAATAGAGAAAGATATCGAAAATTGCACGATTTTGTACAAAATTTGACGAATATATTTTCCGCTCTAACATTTCAATACATTTGACAAACTTTCGTTGAAACTTTATTGTGTTGCGTACTTAAACCCATAGATGGCGCGTATGTTTCACCATAGTTTACAAATGTAGAACGCATTTATCAAAAGCATCGTTTATCGACAGTCGGCAAATAAGTGTGACTATATAGTTTCAATTAATAACTACAGATAGCCGCACTGAACAAGAGTGAATTGGAGTGAATAAGAATCAGGACAGACTTCAGAGAGCTTCAAACTGAAAAACGCCAATAATATAAATAAAAGTCATGTAATTATTATTAACCTTGTTATTGTATATGCTGATCAATTAAGCCCGGTAAAGAAAATATAACACAATGAAGAAAATACTGTGATTCTCGATTGAATCGCGTCGTCCCGGGAATCGATAAAGTCAAGTCAATCGTTTAACGTTGTGCGCAGGACTGCTTCGCGTCGTAACTCCGATCTGCTGTTGTGTGACTGACCGCTCCTGTCAAAATGTCAGCGACGATGACAGCCAAGCTCCAGGATGATATGAATAGTATACCTCTTGCGGATGACGATCCTCAAGGTAAGAACTTGAATTTACTTAATGTCGCAAAGTCGCGCAGCGACTGTTTATTACGGCCTGCTGTTATTAATGAATTATAACCTAATTCGTTTTCAACTACTTGTTTCATATCAAGTTTCTTACTTTATTTACCGTTTTCTTAAATTCATCGATTTAATCTATCTAACTTCACCTTTATGGATTCTATATTTGTTGATATTAATATGGGAATTCTATATAAGTTACATTTAGCACTGAATGTGCAATGGCAATGTGATACTTATTTATTCTGCTTTGCAAAATTTCATTTAGCAACTTGAGAGCGATAAGAGACATTAGATAGATCTTTACATTGTTTGTTTCGAATATCCTTTTGCTTAGGAATTCTTGTTTTACTTGAGAATTATTTATGTATTCCACATATGAATTTTTGGTTTATTTGTCTCATGGCATTTATGGTCTCTAGATCTTTTTGGAGGAATATCTTCTAATAAAGATATTTCTCATGTATTCTTTAAAGTGATAATACCAGAAGAGGAAATCTTGGACAATGCCTCGCATATATCTGATGCTCTAGGCAGAGGACGTAGTATGGATTCCATTCCATCAACGTTCACTAATGGAAGCTGTAGTCCTAACAGTAAGTGATATTGATTTCTTACGGTGTCAGATTCTTTTACACTTTTACATTTTTTACTTTTCAAAAAAAATACATAAAGTAATATTATTTTATTTTAATCCTAAATATTATTTTATTTATTTATAAATCAAACAGTGTCAGGTAAGCAAAATTTTAATTTCTGTCTTCAGATTTTTTTTTAATTATCAGATACTTTTAATTTAAAAATTGTAACAATTCCAATATAATTGTTATTTTATAACAAGATTATAAATGTGGACAAATTAGGGTAGTATGCAAAAAACTGATATTGATTATAGGTTTAGATCCAGACATTAGTCCAGATGAACAAGAGGAGAAAGCTAGACTGATTGCGCAAGTTCTTGAACTCCAAAATACTTTAGATGGTATGTATATTTTTTGCACAGAAGTTATTGTATAGGAATAAATATATTAGCATTTTAAATGCAAATATATGTTCTGTTTAGATCTATCACAAAGAGTGGATAGTGTGAAGGAAGAAAATCTCAAACTAAGGAGCGAGAATCAGGTTTTGAGTCAATACATTGAAAATTTAATGTCAGCGTCAAGCGTATTTCAGTCGACGAGTCCTAACACTAAAAAGAAGTAAATCATTAATTAAATAAATCAGAGAAATTATTATATAAACAAGCGACAGTGATCTTGACATAATTATGATTGTTTTAAGTATTTTGAAAAGTATGTGCATGCGTATTTAATTACAATTTTTGCTTAGCAACAGATATTTAAAAATATTGAGTGTGTTGTGCTTAATTCACCTTTCTTAGCTTGTGCATACTTTTCATAAAAATAAATCTGATAATGGTAATCTCAGATAAAATCTCTGATAAAAATATCTCGGTTAGCTATAATCAAATATCTTTTTAAAATATTTAAAACTATTTATAATGCATTTACTGTGACTGTGACTTGGAACACGCTTATAATTATGTGCACCAAAGAGAGATATCTATTTAATAATTTCTCTAAAACACAAATTTTTTATAATTTTTTTTTTTTTAATTTGCTAAGCAATAATCAGCTATTTTAAGTAAAAATAATTTGTTCTTTTTTAATTATGATTAGATTAATTTCTATGAAATTAATGCATAATAGATAATATTTGTTATCTTTTTGGGAGAAATAATAACAATACTTTGATTATTGTATAAGTAAATAATGCGATTACATGAAATCAAGTAAGGATTTTTATAGATAATAATAATTTAACAATTATAATTATATTTTTTATTATTTGTCTAACATAAGCTTTAGCTTTGATTAATTGATTTGTGTATATATATAAATTATAAATATAATTACTAATTTATCTTGCTCATACATTGCTTCTTGTATTGATATATATTTTTGAAGGTTTATTCTAAATATGCACTTCACATTTGCAAAACTTAGTATTAAAACACTTAAAGCAATATTTGGTCCTCCTCTTTTAATATAAACTCGTTTGGAAATTTGGACGTTTTTATATATATACGCATTGTATTTAGATGTACAAAAGAGATAACATATAATTACGTACAATTACAATACATTAATTATGATATCATATTACAAAAAAAAATTAATATTTGCGAATACTCTACGAGCAAGATGGCCAGTTTAAAGTTCGCTGTTTACGACGGAACAATGCTGATACACAATCATCTTGTTTGTAATAGTGGTGACTGATATTAATAATAAATATATATTTACTGCAAATGGAAAACTGCGACTTGCGATAGAGTTTCAGTTCGAGGGCACAAGCAGAATGCACAATGTCAAATTATCCCATTGTTGAGTAACACAGTGTTATAATAAACATTATATTCTATTGGAACATTGCTGTTTGATCAATATTGAGTTCTCATTCGAACGAATTTCTTACTTATTTTCTTTCTTTATTATCGATCATCATTTCTTCCTTCATAAAACACTCATTCATCGCTGTTCTGGATTTCTTTCTAAGAATTCTGTTAGTTTGTATAACGAATATAATATTGGGCCTAAAAATTGCGCGCGCACGTGCGTGTGTACAGAAATTTTCTAGTTAATTGATTCATTCTCTTGAATAGCTGAAAATTGTATCGCCTTTTGTCCCCAAGACGTTTTCGCTCCTGATTTTGCTCGCCCATTCTTTTTTATTCCTATCCACCATCCATAATATACATATTTGCGTGATCGAAACGCATCGTAGGAGCCAATACTCCATTGTTCCCACTCAGTATTGTCATTATTCATATTTATCTGAAATTTAAATTCATTGGGGTTAATTTTTAAATTTACAATCACTTTCAATCGTCTATTTTACATTTTTAGAAATAAACATTTTTAAAGGGCAATTTATCAACTTAATTGGTTAAGTAGCATTAATTAAGCTAATTTAAATAAATTGAAGTTTATTTTCTTTGACTAATTATTATTAATTATCTGATTATTATTTTTATCATTAAATGTTAGAATTATGAACAAAATTATTGTGAGAATCGAGTTGGATAAAATTGGTGAGGGAGAATTTAATAGAACTGCGTAGAATTTCCTGCAGTGCTATATATATATATATGAAATTCTATAGATGTGGGTGATATTGCATAATGGCTCATGCTCCGTATTTTTTAAAGTAGCAAAAGCTCTTTTTATAACATAACAAAAAGATAATGTTTATTATCTGCCTGTTTAATATTTTATATGTATCTCACCTCTCCATATAATCGTCCTTTCTTATTGAATGCCAAGTAGAGCCTTGTTTCGACACTTTGTATCCTGATAACGCCAAAAGACACCGGCGTCACGTGAAGCAGAGCTGTAAAAAATACAAGCTCTTATAATAATAATTATTAAAAATGTTAATAATAATTGTAGTTTTAAATTGCTCATCTATACACTTCGGGAACTTCTACATTATTACTCCAAATAATATTTCATAGCAGTGGTAATATACCGTGCGACTCATTGTTGCCGGATAATCCTCGAACTCGTCCTGACGGTGTAATTGCCAGATGATACCCGGTTCGGCAGTACAGTTTTATTACCTGACAATTGTAGGCGGGGTTTTTCGCTGGCTGTCGGGGATCCCATATCACGCAGGGCGAGTACTTCCGTGATTTAGAATTACGTTGAATGTTACGCGGCGTCCTGCAATTGCACAATATTAGATAGCCTATAAATTATCTATGTAAATGCTACATAAACAGCATGCACGGTAATGTGTTATACAACACAGACAGAAGAGGGTTTAGTTGGTTTTGATGCAAATAGTACTTAAAAGGAAAATATTCGCATGAAAAGTGTGCAAAATTTATATATTTTGTATGCATTGCCAGCAAAATAAAGTAAAAGATTAACGTACACGTAGAAATTGCAATAATAACGAAGCAAAATAGTAAAAAACATATAAAATAAATTAAGAGAAGCAAAAAAATATATATATATTTAAAAATAGTATTAATTAGAAATTAATTAATTAATATTATAACAGTTATTTAATATAATATTAATTAATTTATTGTATTTTTGGAAAAATATTCTTAAGAATAAGAATTAAATTACGATGAGGATGAATGCAATTATTCTCTATTGATAATTAAAAATAACTAGTGAAAGGTTTATGTCAAATTAACATTTTTGTTTGATATCTTAGATCTTTTAACATACTACTTCTTAAGCCGTTAATGTTAGGATTGTCTTGGCCGTTATAAAGGGTGTTTGCGCCGTTATAGATGCTGGAAAATATATAGGCCGGCCGGTTTTCCAGGTCAGTAAGCCTCGTGAATGAAGCGCACCGTGTCATACTGTAGGCGCTCTCGCACTTCGTTAATTTTAAACCGATTCTCGGAGGGGAGAGAAACGAAATCTCAATAGGCTTTGTGCGAAAGTTACGCGAACAGCTTGGCTGTCGTCATCAGAAAGTGTGTATGTTAACGCGGTTAATTTTACATGGCTTCCACAATCCGTGCCCAATGATTTTTTGTATAAACAGAATTTATTTCTACCAAATGTTATATCGGAGACGCTATTCGGACAAAATTATGTTGTTAAAATTTGCCAAAAAATGGTAATTTATGATAAATGCATTTTTTTTATTCCAAAGACAGCGAATTTCGTTAAATTTGTCTCCTTTCTTTTAATAAATCTAACTGACGATTCACAAGAGATGTGTATTGATTTAATTTATTAGACTTTTTGATTTAACAACATTTGCTGCTTTTACTAGAAAATGCAACTGCATTTTTTTCATCATATTTCTGAAGATATTTTATAAAAAAAAAAAAAAGAAACAGATATTATATATCTTCTATTAAAGTACATTCTTACGATTAAATTACTTTATTTGTACTGCTATAATTTTATAGAATTTTACAAATAAATTTTAAAATCATCTAATAACTAAAAAAAATAATAAACGCGCACAATTGT